TGGGGGGAGAACCCAAAGCCACTTGCTGGGCAGTAGGGGGGGCTGTCTGGCCTACCCCTGGCCATACCCCTCACTCCGCCTGCTGCAGGGAAAGGCCCTTGGACCGGACCTCCCTCGCCCAGGCCATGCGCTGTACCTCCCAAACCAGCCCCTCCCAAGGGCCAGGCATGGCCAAGCCGGTTCAGGGCCAGGCAAGGAGGGCAGGGGACCGCCTGCTGCAGGGAAAGGCCCTTGGACCGGACCTCCCTCGCCCAGGCCATGCGCTGTACCTCCCAAACCAGCCCCTCCCAAGGGCCAGGCATGGCCAAGCCGGTTCAGGGCCAGGCAAGGAGGGCAGGGGACAGCAGCCTTGGGCCTGTGGAAAGATACAGCCACACCCCGTTACAGGGCCAGGGGCCTCGCAAAAGGCCCAGCCTCCTGCTCTCTCTCTCCAATCCACCAAGGCGTCTGGCACAGGAGGAGGGAGGAAGGTGGCCTGTGAAGGGTTAAACTCCCCTTTCCCCAGGGATCCATCCTGCTCCAAGGCCCAAGCGCAGCAAAGTTGCTGGTCTCCGCCCAGGCTTACGGGGAAACGTGCTGGGATTCAAGAGGGGGCGAGACGTTCCCAGGCTGGGGCAGTAACCTAGAAAGGGGGGATCCCCTCTCTCCAGTCCGATGGGATCCCCAACTGTGCCTATCCCCCCCGTACCCTCGCCAGCTCCGTCTGATGGTACCCCCTGGCCGCAGAGAATAATGGGGTGCCCCCCGTCAGGGCTGCAAACAGCGCTGGGATGCATTGGCACGGGGAGGGTCCCAGTTCCCGCCCGCTCTGCACCCGCACCACTGCCCCCCCTGCACGAGCGCAAAGGCCACTCGCACCAACACCGCTAAAACGAAGGGTTGATTTATTGGCATTTAAAATCCAAGGACAACACGGGACAGTGGCTACAGTAATGGGGTGCCCCCCGTCAGGGCTGCAAACAGCGCTGGGATGCATTGGCACGGGGAGGGTCCCAGTTCCCGCCCGCTCTGCACCCGCACCACTGCCCCCCCTGCACGAGCGCAAAGGCCACTCGCACCAACACCGCTAAAACGAAGGGTTGATTTATTGGCATTTAAAATCCAAGGACAACACGGGACAGTGGCTACAGCCAGCGCCGGGAACGAACACGGACAGCAGAAGCCTGCCTCCTGCCCCTCTCCACACCCACTGCCTCCAGTGCTGCCTGGCTCAGCTAAAGCCTCACAGTGCGAAATCGCTAGTAGTGATCTATTTCCAAGGGCAAGAGAAAGGGAAGGGGGGGGGGAAAACAGACATGGAGTAAATCCTAACCTAACGTATCATCTCTAACGCTGCGTTCTGCCGCACTGCCCAGCCAGCAGCTTCCAGCCGCTTTACAGACCCCAGGGAGCCCCCCCAGCCGCTTTCAGGGCAGGTATGGGCCCTAGTTCACAGATAGGGAAACTGAGGCACAGAGCAGTGACACGACCTGTCCCAGGTCACCCAGCAGGAGCTGGGAATGTCCTGTACTCTCTGTTTTCCTCCCCCCAGGTTGCTGCATTTTTAAATCAAGGGAGTTTTGGTAACAATTTAAACCTGGAGAGCTCAGCTAGTCACCAGAACCCCTCCCAAACCCAGCTCCGCTCCATAATGCTTTTACGTCTCCAGAGCCCTTCCCCCAGTGGCCCTCACTCACGACCTCCATGGGAGACTGGGAAGGAATATTGCTATTTCAGAATTGGGGAAACTGAGGTAGCAGTCTCTCCCAGGGGTTGTGTGTGGCTATACAGATTATGCACGCGCACACACACACACACACACACCCCATTACACACACCTTTTCCCCCTCCCACCACTCCCAGGAGCGTGGACATAGGAGCAGCTCCGCAAAGTAACCAGATCACTTCACCCCCCTACACCCACTTTTCCAGCCCCTCTCTAGAGAAACACCCCCCGCAACCACCCAACCTCTGCCCTACGCTGCACTCTGAAAAGTCCATGTCTCCAGTTAGCCTCTTCTGCAGCATTCACTGGGACAAAGATGCCTAACCAGGGCTCAGGCCTGGCTGTCCGGGGTATGCTCCTTGTTCCCTGGATGATGGGTGAATTCACAATCCCCCCTCCCCATTTGTTGACTCTCACTTTTTCCCCCACTACAGATCCCTTGTGCATCTGTGTACGTTGTGTTCACCGACTGCGAAGGGCAACAAACGTAGCCCAGTGCATGGTGACAGAGGATTCCCTTTGATTGCTGTAGCCAGTGGAACTCATTGCCACAAGAGAGCAGCGAGCCCAAGAGCTGAGTAGGACCCAACACGGGGTCAGACATTTATACTGCTAAGATTAGGGGTGGAGAAGATGCGGGTCGGCTTCGGCCCACGTCACTGGATCGGGCCTGCGGCTGACTCATCAGGACCCTCAGGCACAAAGCAGCTCACACCCCTCAAAACAGCTGGCTGCTTTCTGTTCTGGACGTTGGGGGAGGCTTCACGTGCTGCCCCCGCCCAGCGCAATCTCTCCACTCCCATCGTAAGGGGAGGAAGCGGGCTGGGGGGGCCGACCAGAACCGGACCACAGTGCAAACCCCTCGGCGCCACAGCTGGTCCAAGCGGAAAGCCCCTCGGGCCCCCGCCGCCTGGCCCCACTCTGGGTTCCCAGCAATCTGGCCCCGAGCTGGGGCTGCGCAGGAAGCAGGGGGCTCAGAGGCAGGGGGCTGCGTGGCTCTGAAGCGCCCCCCGCAGGCTCTGAAGAGAGCAGCAAGTCTCCCAGCCCCCAGCGCAAAGGGAGGGGCGTAGAACGGCCGCCGGGCTGGGGGTCTGCGATAGAAACGCCCGGGGACTGTGCACTTGGAGCAGGGACCTGAAAACACACCCCGCCCCCCCCAAACACACCCCCAGTCAATGGAGCAGCTCTCACTTCAGGCAGGGAATTCCAAAACAGCCCCTGGAGAGAAGCCCCCAGCCCGGCAGGGAGCAGCCCCACGGCCCGGTCCCATCCTTGCTCCCTGCTAGGGCTGCTGCTGCCTCCGTGGGC